GTTATTTTCATAGTTATCTAAATGATTTACAATAGTAGTCAATGGTTCCATAAATTGGTCATGGATGAGACCATAATTTATGGACGATCTTTGAGAGACATCAAAGTGATCTTGAAAAAACACCTACTTACTGCGGTCTAAAGAAGGTCATAAAATAGTGTGAGAAATTAGAATCGAAATTTTAGGTTAGAAGTTAGGGTTATGAACTATAGTTGGGGTTTTCATCAAGAGCTGAAATCAGTTATAACGCCAAAATGCTATTTAGCTATATGGATGGATGAATTTCGCGCCGAAATGCAAGATCTACTATCTCAAATCTGGTTGATTCGTCGATAAATTATAGTCTTCCGGAGTATGAGTTTGAGGGTGAAACCGGGCATAGTTCAGCAGATTTCTCTTTAAAATTTAAACTAAATACAGTCTACTATTAACATTCTTTTAACTTGATAAAATGGAAATTTTACCGGTGGTATTCATTACAGATTAGCCTCAGTTGAGATATTGAAAACCAGAGAGCGATTGGAGGACTGTTTAGTCCAAGCAAAGGAGACGTTAGTTGTGGGCACCAACAACCTCAATAGTTAAACCCAGGCCTTGTGGCGAGCCCTTATACATTAGACTACTAGGATGAGGTCCAATGGTACACATCATCAACTTCGCACAGTTCATAATATAGAGCTGCCGTTATCTAATCCTAATGATGACGATTATATCCCGCCTAATATGGCTGAACTTCATCAATCACATCTTTCATTAAAACTTTAGGTCACAACTATGTTACCATTTACAGATTTCACAGAAAGTTATCATATTTCTAAGTACTTTTCATCACTTATCTTCACAAAACATCCTAGCAGCAATAAAAATTTGAAAAATTCTTCTGCAACCGCGGTGGAGCAAAATGCCGACAAAGTAGTCTCATTTCTTAAACTATTAAAACACCCATAACATAATCAAACTGAAAACAATGCAGGTATGATAGGTTATTTTTAATTAATCGAAAGTATAAATATTCACGACAGTAATGGTGATTGAATTTCAAAAAAAAACTTAGTCTGTAGTTATGCTGAAATCATTATTCTCTTCTAGACCAACCTCTCCATTCGCTTTACTAACCTATCAACTAGCTCTATGTTGTAATTCAATAATTTTACAGATAAGCCTAACTGGTTCAGCTTTGTCTACAGTAGGCAACACTTAGGATGAAGGATTGAAGGTGAAATTGAGATAAATATAAATTAGGATTGAATCCTAACTGACTGGCAAATAAACTTCTCATAGTTGATATCATGAGTCAATTGAAGCTAGATCACCATGAAAAACCTGGAAGCATTGAACGGCCGTTTCGTCCTACTGTGGGGCTCCTCAGCAGTTCGCATCCACGACAATTGGTGGACGGTTGCTCAAAATCGTGGATTAGTTGAAGTTAGACATTAAAACCGTTGAATGCCGGCCAGCTCAGTGGTCTATCGGTCAAGTGCTCTGGAGCGAGACTAGTAGGTCCTGGGTTCGAATCTCGCGAGGCGGGATCGTGGATGCACACTGCCACTTAGGAATCTCATAATAAGGCGAAACGGCTGTCCAGTGCTTCCAGGTTTTCGATGGTTGTCTAGCTTCAATTAACTCCTGATTTCAACTATGAAAATACTAAATTCTCCACAAAACCCCTTCTGATTGATAAATAAACTTCTACTTATAACCAGTTATTTATTATGTATGCATAATATTCAAAGTTAGACTACTTTCAACAGCATAGCATAATTAAACGAGTATCTGCAAACGAATTCAATTAAACCATATCATTTTGTATTTGATAAAAATAGGAGTCATAAGATATACATACATCATATGTCATTTTAGTCACGTTTAATATGAATGATCTGTCAACTTTATGATAAACGAGGGGTTTACATTTTGTATAGATTTAATTATCTTTTGTATATATCAGTTAATCTGTGTGTATTTTTTTTTTCTCTTAAAATGGTTGAATAGCTTTTGAGAAATCACCAAAATATCTCAAACTGATGATACAGATCAAATATTTTATAGTTGCAAGCGTGAGTCAATTGAAGCTAGACCACCAAGGAAAACCTGGAACCACTGGACGGCCCTCTCGTCCTATTGTGGGACTCCTCAGCAGTGCGCATCCACGACCTCACCTCGCGAGATTCAAACCCAGGACCTACTAGAATAATTAACACTTCAATAACTCACAACATGGTGAAAAAGAGTAATTAAAATATTGGTGTATATTTTACTAGAAACTATCGCTAAGACTAAGGATGGTTCACAGTTTTCGCTGCTCAAAACATGAAAATGTACACCTCAGTCTCAACTGTTCTGTACTAAACGATTTGCAATAGTTTTCTAACTGATAACGTCCGTAAAACTATTCCATTTTATTAGATTTTATTTCAATGCCCTGGTACCGCCAAGAGTGGGGAGAGTCCGCTTTCCCTTTCCAAATGCTCTCACATGGCCACGCGAATATACAACCTCTGACAGAGAAGTCCTACTCACTGCCTTCTCGCACCAAGGGGGTTGTTTACGAAATTGAGAGAACGAAAAGCGAATGTTCGGCAATTTAACAGGGTTGGTGGATACTCTCCATGTCCACCTAGGGTAGTTGGAAAACCACAATTCCAAACCAATGGTTCACATGAGCTCCAGTACCCTTAAAGAACAAATGGCGTATGAATCAATCGGTGATCACCGGCTATCACGGGACTGCATCTCCTGACCCCTAAGAAAACCACGTGCTTCAGTTTGGGCACCTAAGGAGTATCACATCCCTCACACAAATCAAATGAAATTTGTGCGGCGCATATGTATCCGGTGCTACCTTGTACCACTATTTATGTGTTTAAATAAAATAAAATAAAATAAAGATGGAAAAACAACCATCATTAATTCACCAATGATCGATTGGTGTATCATACTTGGTAATTTGATGCGTTTAAAAGAATATTTACGGTTATACAGAAATATTATTACAGCCGTATAACATAGTCGTTCAGCCTTTTACTGTTAGACCTAACTAACATTCAAACTAATTATCAAAAACAACTATGTGATCCAAAAGATAACTGACTTCTATATTTTTTTTTTCTTAAATATAATCTAATTCAAAACAATCCTGGTATAACCGTCAATTATATTACCTTACAGAAATTGTTTTATATACAATATTCATCAAAACACTAGTTAACAGTCAGTCAGTCATTCATTATCACAAAGATGAGCAGTGCAGTCAGCTCAACATTTCTGAAGTTTATGGATATGTAACATAAGTGAGTTTAAATAGTTGTAAACTTGTAAATGAAGAGTTACCATAGTTAATTGTTTATTTATTTCAACACATAAATATTGGTACAAAGAGGCACCAGATATATATGCATAACACAAATCGCATTTGATTTGTGTGAGGGATGTGATACTGACAAGGTGCCTAAACCGAAGCAGGTGGTTTTCTTAGGGAACCATACCCGAAGCCTTTGACCTAAAGGTCTGATCCAAAAGGCAGTGGAGCATCGCAGGAGATGCAGTTCCATGGTAGCAGGTGACCAACGATTGGTTCATTCGCCATTTGTTCCTTCAGGATAGTGGAGCCCATGTGCACCATTGGTTTGGAATTGTGGTTTTCCAACTCCCCTAGGTGGACATGGAGAGTGTCCAACAACCCGTTTAAAGCGCCGGACATTCGCTTTTCGTCCTCTCACTTTCGTAAACAACACCCGTGGTGCGAGAAGGCAGTGAGTAGGACTTCCCTGGCAGATGCTATATATTCGCGTGGCCATGTTAGAGCATTTGGAGAGGGAGAGCGGACTCTCCTCTCTCTCGGCTGTACCAGGGCATTTGGGGGCTATCATCAGTATAGAACAAATTAATTCAAAAGACGTTCATTTTATGTGTAAAAAAAAGTGTATACATGACTATCAAGTTAAAAAGTTGCTCATAAAAATTTCTGAATATCCGTTAAGTTGCCATGTAATAAAAAAAATACAATAGGGATTTGATTTCAATTAAACAAATTATTACAATACTCCTGGATCCCATAGCAACATACTGTTCAATAAAATACAGAAGAAAGATTAAACATTTAATCTGTATATATTATCCTAAACATATTAATAATGTAGAAAAACAAAACAAACAATGTTTTCCATTAACCACATGCAAATTTATAAAACCATTTGTTAACCACACCTATTACTTAACTATTCAAAAGCATTGATAGATAACAAATGGTTAAAGTTTCAACTTGACATTCATTCATTCAGCTACAACGTAGGACAAGGCACATTTATGCATCTGTCCAACTTGCCATACATCGTTAGCACAACAAGATGAATGCCGGATTCATAGAAATAGTTAATTTAGTAGTGGTGATGGTAGTATATAAAAGATGATAGGTTGACATTCAAACCACTAGTGTAAAAACGTGTAGACCATAGTTCAAAATTTCTATACATACATGAAATCTATTCTGAATTTAAATGTTTCATAGTGAATTCAATCTATCAATATTGATTAACCAATAGTTGATTAGAACATTAAACGTACTTAAACAGGTTATTATTATTATTTATTTGAACACAAATATTGGTACAAAGGGTCAATGAATACATATGCGCCACACAAATCTCATTTGATTTGTGTGAGGGATGTGATACTGCCAAGGTGCCAAAAGTAAAACAGGTGGTTTTCTTAGGGGGCCACACCCCGAGCCTTTGACCTAAAGGTATGATCCACAAAGCAGTGGAGCATCATGAGGAGATGCAGGCCCACGCTAGCCGATGATCAACGATTGGTTCATTCGCCATTTGTTCCTTCAGGATAGTGGAGCCCATGTGCACCATTGGTTTGGAATTGTGGTTTTCCAACTCCCCTAGGTGGACATGGAGAGTGTCCACCAACCCAGTTAAAGCGCTAGACATTCGTTTTTTGTCCTCTCAAATTCGTAAACAACACCCCCGCCACGAGAAGGCAGTGAGTAGAACTTAAACAGGTAATTGGCACAGGTACAGATCTGTCATTCTCAATTTTGTATATGACTCTAATATTACAGTCGAATTATTATTATTATTATTATTATTATTATTATTATTATTATTATTATTATTATCAGAAGGGGTCGTCCAATGCTTCCAGGTTTTCCATGATGGTCTAGCTTCAATTGATTCACGTTGCCAACTAGTCAAATTATTATCATCTCTTAGTTTTGCCATGATTATAAATTACAGGATTAATAATTGTATATCTTAAATGACGACAATATTTAGTAGTCATGTGGTATCAAATTTAATTTTTAAATGCACAGAAAAAAAACTGAAGCATCGAAGTCAGTAAACACGATTATTGATTCAAATGAATTGTTTTATGATATTTTTTCTACTAGAAATGATATGACTAAAGTTTCTAGTTTAATAACTACGGTAAAGAGTATAAGTACAAGGACAAACTTTAAAAAAGGCCACAATGAATTTGCAATCAATTCATAGTCAATCAAAAAAAATATTCTAAGAAAACATGGATAGTGGTTAGCAGTGGAATCCAGAACGCATGTTTCGTCCTATTTAGGACTCGTCAGCTGGACGTTGATGTTCACCTTGAGACTTGAATTTAGTACATTTTGCTCTAAATGCCTTTGTGTTATCCACTCAGCTATTGAGTCCTGATAGCCAGGTACATCACGCTGACGAGTGTCAAATAGGACGAAAAGCGCATCCTGAATTCCACTGCTAGTCACTAACCGTTTTCGCTCATAAAGCTTGTGACTTCAGGAAATATCGAGGCAATACACACAGGATAAACATATTCCAATAAGAGACTGATCAATTACATTCCCAAACATCAATGGGAAGATTCAAGTAAACATTACCTAGTGAATTTTAAAAAAAATACTCCATGGAAAAGAAACAGATAATATTACAAAGTGTAAACAGGTTTCACATCACTCATAAACCTATTCATCTTTTACATAGGTTACTTCACCCGGAAGTCTAAAAAACAATAACATCAATTTGTACATATGGATACACAATGTCCATATTTTCAAATCTTTAAAATGAACAAAATTGATTCTCATGACTCCACACACAGTATTCGTAGTTAGGGTTAGGACTAAAGATTAAGAGTTGTGCTTTTCATCATCAACCAACATCAGTTATGATGTAAAAGTGTTTTGTAGTCATATGGATGGGTGAATTTCGACCAAATATACAAGAGGGTCTATCCGATTAGTTCGTCCATCAAATATGGTACGACCAGGTTAAGGTTTGTTTCAGGATTAAGGGTTAGAATTTAGGGATATTGTCGATTCACCAGTTATATATAATTCACAGAGATAGAATTGAGCATTTATTGAGTTCAACCACACATTTTAAGTCTAAGTGGATCTCCAGCAGTTACGTAAATGATATAAATACTTAGCGCTTAATAATAGCCATTAACTTGATGTAAAATAAAACAATGATTGTGACCATACCGTGTCATAACACCAAATAACAAGCAACATACACTAAGTTAAAACTAGTGAATCTGCACACATTTTTCGGCAAATAAGTTAATTCTGTCTACAACAGGAAGATGTTAAACAGTAACATGATAAGTTTCAAAGCGTACGTTCCAAAGAATACTAAGTAAATAAACATTCAACCTTCATCAACGAGTTACATTAAGAAAGACTAGTTTGTTATTTTTAATGATAAGTTTTAATTGAAAAAGTTAAAAGTGTTAGGTGAAAGTAACTAACTACCACTAGAGCATGATATCCTGGAATCGAATGCTTCCACAATTAGGTTTGCAGGCAAAAAAATATATATATTAATAATCGCAAAATGAAATTAAAGTGCAATCCAACAGTGTCGGGGTGTGGGGAATGCATTCATTGAGGACAATGGAATATAGTGTCACAACATCATGGATCGATTGAAGTTAGACTTATGCACCACTGGATCCCAGCTCAGTAGTCTAGAGGTTAAGGACTCATGAATGGGACTGAAGATATGGAGTTTAAGTACCGGCTGCTAAGCTGATGATGTGCCCTGGTGAGGAGTCCCATACTAAGAAGAAACGGTCGTTCAGTGCTTTCGGGTTTTCAATAATTGTCTAACTTAGATTGGTCCGTGATTTCAATAACGTTATTTGAGTTTGTTAATATCTAGAGATAAGTAAAAATTAGTATCCCATATTCCAGACAAAAAAAGGTCATTAAAATTTCGTTAGACTAAATCCGCATCCATAAGTTGATATATCAGTAGAAATCCATCGAAGCATGAGGATCGATCAAATCGATGGCAGCTAGTAAAATTAAGGCTAACATAACGGATCAATTAATCACTGTTGTAACAGTATTACAATTTGGAAAATACGATACAGAATACTAACAAATCTTCGGACTTTTTGAATCAGTTCGATACCATGACTATGATTTCAATATAATGGAAATTCCGATTCGTATATTTAGTAAAAAACAAATAAGGAGGATAAAATATCGCTTTTCAGTTAATTATTCATTTTGGCTCTACCTTGGTATAAATAGCCATGATGACTAATAGAAAGTCTAACATGCTTACTAAATACAAGCACTACTGTCAACAAAATGTTTGTTTACCTATCAAAAACCAAACATTTCACGTGGAACTTCGATTTGTTTTACTTTATGGCTGTGAAAATTGGCCTATAAAGATGCAAGACATGAAAGTAAGGTATACGACGGTTGAAGAGTCACATTTCCCAAAAAATCAATTTCTTTGCTATATCTACGGAAATTAATCACCAGTAACTGGTATTGTAAATACTTCATTTTAAAAGATATAACCTAAACAATGAAGAATCTAGTACAGTGATGAAACAAGGAAGAAACGATTAGAAATTTATAGATAAAAAACCAAACTAACAGGTGGATATTCCGAATTGGTATCAAAGGTATTCGAATTCGAATTGAATGTAACAATAGGATATAAAATTCTCCACTGCTGACCTGATCATACCGTGTCTTAGACTATTGGTTTCCAAATGCTTTATGACTCTATCCAGAGAATCAACTCTTAAAAGACCACAGCTAAAAGTTAGTGACCTTATATACTGATATAAATTTTCGATTTGATCACTTAAAGGGTGCAACTATCAACAGAGATAGGTACAAAACCTTTATTATGCACTAAAGTACTGAATTATTAGAACGTGAATCAATAAAGATTCTATGCCAAAGTCACACACTGGGTGACATGGCTCAGAATTGTCCTCAATGGAGCAGGTGCATTCACTCTCTATATTCACTTGGTCCCTGAAACTTGAAATCTCCCTATATCTTTCTTTTCCACATTCAATCTTTCCTAGTATTACTGATACTATTACTACTTCTACTACTATAAAAATTTGTCTTGATTACTTTATTTCGCTGTGGTGATGTGTTATAACTTGAGTTGACGCACATGTGTTAGGTTCTACTTTGCATTTGACTAAAAGACTGAATAAATAAAGAGGAATGACGTCCCAAACCAATAGCTGGTGAATGTTAGAAAAAGCATAACAGTTGTAACTGGATGAATATTAAATATAATTCAGAGAAAATGATGTTCGGCATGAGTTTCTCAGGGGACATTAACATTGCTATGTAGATAATGCCAACTAAAAATCTATAAACAAAACAAGAAATACATCCAAAAATCTAAGGTTAAGTAAAAGGACAGCAACATCATGGAATCCTAGTATTAAGGTATAGAATGATTTTGATGTAAAATAACACACACAAAATTCTGCACGAGAAACTTTAACAGTAGTAGTTCACAGATTTCTTACGACAGTTATGTAGTACATTAAATAGGAATAATATATTTGTAAAATCTCAGTGAATGAATTTGAAGTAAATCAAACGTTTCGCCTGGCAATCTGGTCCAAGCTTTTTTAAGGAATTATCTGTTATGTAGTACATTTCATGATGACGACATGGTTTATATTTGCTTAGAATAAACCATCAAAAATTTTGTTTTTATTTGCCTGATAGATTAAGATGCAGTAATTATAACAATAGACAGGATTATATAAATGAGTGAAACCCTAATAGAGTTTATAATAGGTTTCAATAAGGAATTTCAAGTTTTAGGAGCTAATCAAATTCATTACAAACGACTTATCAGATAACATAAAAGCGTGTATTTATTTCTTTAAGAGAATATTGACAAGATCTAACCCCCCCCCCCAAAAAAAGGTGAACAACAATTAATATACAAATCCTTTACAGGCATATTATTATGCTTAGCAAAAATCTTATGAAGATATCCTCATTAAATAAACTTCCATCGTCCTTCTGAACGACATCATCAGCACAAACTTCGGGTACAAACTGTAGATGGTCAAATCCAAGACATAATATCAATATATGGAGTCATTAAGCTTTGGGCTATTGTTAAAAACATAATTATTTTTGATGGAGTTTTGTTCTTCTACCCGAAGTTTGCACTGATGTTGATGTCGTTCAGAAGGACTATGAAAGCTCCACGACCAAACTATCTAGCTCAAAGAACAAAACTCTATCTATCTGAGCTACAAAACTTCTCCATCTCATGAAATAAACATAATAAGTGAATTTATCATACCATTAAAAAAAAATTATTTTTCATTATATTAACTTACAAAACAATGTTATATACTATCAATTATCCTTTAGGATCAAGATCAGTAGTAATAATATAAAAATTCAATTTTTCTTTTCAACTTTCTATAATGCCTTTTAGTCACCTTACCATCTATCATTGTAATACAAATTTTACTTCATTCTTATTGGTGTAAGAAAATTTATTGACCTGAAGCTGATAGATTAAATTAACCAATAGAATTTTAGTCACATGACTTTAATATATCCAAGTGAAAAATGATGTCTGTCTGTCTTTTAATATATATGTATACATACATAAGGGACAGTAGGATGAATATATATATATATATCAATAGACGATAGTTAGACAGACATATACATTAAAAAGGCTGATGTAATTTGAATAAACACGTGATTTTTACATAATGGACTATTCTTGTTTGTCTGAAGTTCTTTTATGTATATATATATATAAAAGGAATCATTGGAAGTCTTTCAATGGAATACTTCTTCTTCTCAAATAGGATATATGAGATTAAAGGACAATGTTAATTTATTTGAAAGACATTAATTATTCCTAAATCTTTCTGTATAATCTACATTGGTAATTAATTTCATTCTTCATCCTTGTACTTTTAAGTTGGTATATATGTATATTCGTCTAATTTTACGAATAAATAGATTCCATTATATAAGAGAATTTTATATGAGTTGAAATCATGAGTCCATTGAAATTAGACTTTCATGGAAAACCTGGAAGCACTGGACGACCGTTTCATCCTATTATGGGACTCCTCAGTAGTGTACATCCACGATCTTGTATCGCAAGATTCGAACCCAGGACGGAATTCAAGGTCATGGAATAACTCAGTGACTCCTCATCACTTCAATTAATTGCAATGAATACATGAATACATTTCGAGAGGTTGAAGGGATCACATAGCCTATTAAAGAAATGAACGTTAAGTAGATATATAAAGACATCGTTTATAATTGGTGGAGTTCAATAAAACAAACATGTTTTTCTTTGTACTAGTCAGTAACAGCTTGGATTATCTGGCTACTCAATGTATAATAGCTTATCTGACACAAAAATTTGGCGGCACATACTTATGAAAGTTTGTAATATATTGTGTATAACTTAAAAAAATAGATTGTTATCAGAAGGGGGATTTGTGGAGATTTTAGTCATTTTCTTTAGTTGAAATCACGAGTCAATTGAAGCTACACAACAATGAAAAACCTGGAAGCACTGGACGACCGTTTCGTCCTAGTGTGGGACTCCTCAATAGTATGCATCCATGATCCCGGATCGCGAGATTCGAACCCAGGGCTTATCAGTCTCGCGTGCTAGCGCTTAACCATTAGACCATTGATGTTAATATCTAACTTTAACCATAAATTCAATCTGCAACAACGTCACTATGTCGAAAGTTGGGGACCCAACATTGTTTCGTGGGGGAGGATAAAGTCGGCAAATGTAGTCTGGATACCTACCCCGCTTCTTCAAAAAGAGGTGTTAAGTCGGCTTACAGTAAACTCTATCAGAGCCTCCAGAGGCTCATAAAGAGCCCAACCAATCAGCAATTAGTTAGAAGCTATGCTACTAAAATAACGAGGTCCTGATTGGCTGTTTAGCATACTGCTACTATGGAAACCCAAGGTCTTTTAATTACTATAAAACTCTTGTTTTTCTGTACATAAATGAACCTTGCAGTAAAGTACTTCTCTCATACTCGTGTCTTCTCTCCGGTCTTCAAGTAGTTGAATAGTTCTAACCTGGGGTTATCAGAATAGCTTAGGATCTGAATATAGCGTTCAACCTACAAGATATAACACTTCCTGAAGCTGCAATTCAATGGAGATGTAGCTGGTGATATACTACGTGATAGACTGACTAGAGCAGTGAAGAGAACGTTTAATCCATCCAAACTCTGTCTATCGTACTCGGCCCGATCTATAGTGATTCATCAACCAAAGGACAAGTTGCCTGGCTATACAGCAGCTATGTGTATCTAAGAATTCAGCTGCTCCTGTAGAGAAAGATATATTGGGCGCACTACCAAACAACTCAACCGAAGAGTTAATCAACACCTCCCTTCGTGATTAGGAAAAGGTACTGTCAAAACAATACTCAGCTCAGTTCTATCACACTTGATCGACAGTGGTCATGTAGTAGACAAATAAGTCATTTAAAGTTATTTATTGTATTCATACTAGTTTTTCTTATGGAGTTCGATCTCGTCTCTTACACATAGCAGAGGCTATAAGAATTCCGACCAACATCCCAAGTCTTTGTGTTCATAAGAAATTTGTAACATCCTTATCTCTCCCTTGACCTTACTAAATGATTTTATTTGTTATTATTTTTCATACTTTCTCTTCGTTTATTTTTCTTCACCCCCTCCTACCATTTTGTTTTTCCCCCAAGTATACCTTTCACGGTCTAATTTTTCTTATTGTGTAATCTTATAATTTTTATGAATGTCATTTCAGTGTCTATATTCTTCTAATGATTGACCTCATTCCCACTATGAAACATAGATACAAACCTTTTTTATTCTTGTCACAACTAATACACCTATCATCACACTACCTATTTGTACTTTTCACTTACTATGTTTAGTTATGTAATCTATTCCACTGTTATCATTGACCCATAAACTGCCTTGATTGGTCTGATAATTTCGAAAATGTATATAAATATTACTGTATATTAGAGTAAAGCCTGATTAGGATCTAAAATTATAAATATAAAACATTCTATGAAGCAATCGGAAATGTTTATTCTGATTAGCGTTTTTGACAAGGTTATCTTCCATGGGATGGGATTATCGACCCCATGCCTAACCCTACTCCTTTACCCGGGCTCTGGACCGGCAGTAGATCTAGAACAGCTACAGGCGGTAAAAGAGAAAAAACCAACTTCCAATTGAAGAGGAAATTAGGAAAAGATGACGGAGGTGGATAGGACATACATTGAGGAAATCATCGAACTGTATCACGAAGCGAGCACTAACTTGGAATCCTGAAGGAAAATGGAAAAGTGGAAGTCCAAAGGACACACTATATCGAGAATTGGAAGCAGACATGAAAGGGATGAATAGTAACTGAGATGAACTGGAAAAGATTGACCAGAACAGAGTTGGATGTGGAATGCTGGTGAGCGGTCTGTGCTCCTCCATGAGGGTTAACAGACATAAGTAAGTAATTAGTTGAAAATGTTAAACATGAGCTTGTTCGCTTCGATCTGAAGATATTTTATATTTTTGCTTTGTATATATGGTTTCCAAAGCTAGTGAAATATGAATAAATTAAGTTCTTGGTGAAAAGTCCGGACTTTGGTTCTCAATTTATGTTCTTCCTAGGGTGATCTCAAACAGATCAGTAAATAAAAAGGAAATTAATATCTACAACATTCTTATGAGATGAAATGTAAAATATTTAAGAGATTTTAGTGATCATCAAAGCGTCATTAAGGACAGTTAAGATGGTGAAACTATAATTTATGAACGAACCAATCAGAGTTAGGATAATAAATCTTGGTCAAACAGCGTCTTGGAATTTTAGCTGATGTCAGTTCGTGATGCAAAACCGTAAATCTTATTCCTAACACTAACCGTCAACTATGAATCATAATCCTTATTCTTCAAACTGCTTTATAACCGTCATTTAGCCCTAGTAAGTAGATAGACACTCTCAAGGTCACTTTGGTATCGCTCAAAGGTCGTCCATAGATTATAGTCTCACCTATTTAAAAATATAATACCCTATATTAAGCTAAAATGGATAGTAATTTGTTACTGGTGAAATGACTGAAAAATTTCAAGTATCAACCAAACGTTACTTAATATTGTTAAATAGGGTAATGAGAAACATCGGGGTGTAAACAGATACATGATATAAAGATCCTGGAAAATTGTCCGTTTCTTTAAGCAAGCATATGATTTGAAAATGTGTCGAATATAAGCTACTGCTTTAAGCCGACTCTATGTGTAACTGTTCGTTTCTGTGTTCTTTTGAAGAATGAAGGATATGATTACCCAGAGAATTTCAGAATATTACCGTGATATCTGTTAAAAGTGAATGCAAAACAATCAATATCTTTAGCAGTGGAATCCAGTTTGACGCGCGATTCGTCCTACTTGGGACTCGTCAGCTGGATGTACCTGCATCCCAGAGTTGATGTTCACTCTGGGACTCGAACCCAGTACCTTTCGCTTCAAACGCACGCGTTATCCACTCGGCCACTGAGTCCTGGGTTCAAGACCTAAAGTGAACATCAACTCTGAGATACAGGTGCATCCAGCTGATGGGTCCCAAATAGGACGAAACGCGCGTCCCGGATTCCACTGCTGGCCACTGTCCATCTTTGCTTACCATGCTTGTGAATTTAGGCTATATTGAGGCAATAGGCACAGAATGCACATATGCCAATTAGAGACTGATCAGTTGCAGTCCTAAAACATCAATGGGAAGATTCAAACATATAATACTAAGTGAGTTTAATCAATATCTCTATTCTCGAACATTTAATCAACTATGGTCATGTAGCCATTTAAACAGCCTTTTAAAACTATTTACTAAATCAAACATATCGATGCAAAACGGGCTATCAACACGAAGTCTATGTACAGTAGAGACTATGGTATTTCAACAATGACAAGCCTGATCTATGTGTGTTCAAAATTGACATTTTCACTTCATCACTCTTACATTGTCCTAACTTTTTTTTCGGATGATACATTTGTCCTTTGTTTTTCTTTTGTACAGTTACCCATAGAAAAACAATTGTCTTTTACATTTTTTCAAGAATAGTTGTCGAATATTTTCGATTCACCTATTCATCATATGATAACTGTTTTTTGGGGTCTGACAACACATATTTTTTTATCTGAAGTATATTTAGTCTATAAATAGTATTTGCTAAGATCTGATCTTAGTTAGGATACCACTGGAAACTAGAGAATATCGTACAAATATTTCGTGTAACATGGAATGCCGACCCATTGGTATAATGGTTTAGCGGTAGCCACGAGGTTTACAGGTTTTTCACTCGATCAATGGAAGAGTTATAAGGTATACATTACTAGGAAAAACTGGATGTCTAGTGCTTTCTGGTTTTCAACTATACCTCTAAATGTGATATTACGAATGTGAT